TGACATAATTATCATCGAATGATTCGTAATGGACGGTGAAAGATACACATGACGAAATTGTTTCCACTACGTTCGGATAAGGGAAGAAAAAGTTGTCTCACAATTTAGTCTATTTCTCTATCGATTAACTCCTCAAAATAGATTGTCTCTGTTGTATTCCTTTTATCTTCAGCAAGAAAGTCTTCTGACTTTTCTCACATTCGAACTTCTCTATTAAAGCTAGTGTTCAAAACTTACATAAAGCGATTGTTGTCGTTGTTGTTACTGCTGGTGTTGGTGCCACCACTGAAATTATAAAAAAAAAAGAATGAACCTACCCTTACTAATCGCTCTGTCTAGTCGTATTTTTCATCATTTCCAAAAAAAAGCATACCGTTCCAAGTGCAATGCTGGTTTGCTTGTGACCAAATTAAATTAGCTGGACATTGTTGTAGATAAGCATGGTTATGAGCACAGTGCCAAAATGTGTGATGATCATTAGGATTTTCGAACATACCTTCACTGGGACATACAAAAGTTCCATCGATTAGTTTTAAGAGAGAAATAGAAATCAGAACAAAAAGAACTTCTACGCCACGCATGTTCTATTTAGAAGACTCTTTTATTGTCGGGAATTACAAGTGAATTAAAAAATATTTTTCATTCTCTTTTGTATTTTGTTTTTTACCAGTGCAAGAATCAGTAATCGAATCTTTTCATGTATTGCTGTTTCTAAAAAGTAATCTCCTATAAATATTTTCACTTGCGTGTGCTGACGATGCTTTTACTAGGTGCAAAAATAATAAGAACGAATCGACATAAGAGAAGAGCAGAAGTATTTATATTTCATAAGCCATTTTAAAGAAAAATCTTATCATTAGTAAAAAATGCCAAGCATTTGTCGGCCTTCTATTCGATATTGATAAGAGAGAAAAACTATCAATCAAAAAGTCTGCAACAAACAGATCAAAGTAATAATCGATGAAAAATATTTCGTTATGATATCCATCGCAAGATAAAGTCTTCACAATTATATTGCAATTGGTGTTCAAATAGCAAACTATTCTAAGATCCAATGAACTTCATTTATTACTTTGGACTCATATTCTTTTTTTCATCGAAAAATAGAGCTTGTGATCAAACAAGCAGGTCACCTGCAAGAAGAGAAATGTTTTAATGCTGTTATTTTTTTTACACATGAGTGAAAGATCACTCTTTGAATAATGAGAATGAGAAGTTAAAGAAATTCGAAGAATATTCGTGCTTTCTGTTACGTATTTGTTCAGATTCGGAGGGTGTGGGTGTGAGTATAAATGAAGAGAAGACTCACACCTTCCACATCCACACTCAGATCTACACCCACACTTACACTCACGTTCACTCACACCCCACATCCACACTCACTCACATCCGCTCGAATCGTGGACTCTCCTAATCAACCTTACTAATCATTGTGCACTATCGTTTGTCCGGTGTTTCATACACTTTCTATTCCGTTCTTTTTGCGACTAAAAAATAAATTTGGACCCTTTTTTTTCTGAAATTGTTACATTGTTACAAGTCTTGTTTTTGATGGTCAAAACAAGAAGTAATATTTATTGTAATCAACTAAATAAATAGTTACTGAAGATTTTCGAAATAACGATGATTTCTCATGAAGTCAGACTCTTTTGAATATTGATCAGCTCTCGTATCTTTGGCAATAGCCATGATGGCAGGACTCACAATAATCGGCAGAAACAGTGTTATCAGCTTTGGTATTATTGTAACGACAGCAGGCAGTCGATGAAGGAAAATAAATACTCGGCGAATTGTAATAAACAGTCCGCCGATTGTAACCACCATTTGACCCAAATAGATCTTTGTGGTAAACTTTTTTAGCCAATTTTTTCAGCAAGTAATGAATAGAATTTTCAATTTCCTGTGATTGATAGTTAGGAGAAATCCAATTTGAATTTGTGCAGTTTCTACATCGCTGGCCAAATACTTTCCAATCAATTGTATAATCATGACGATTGTATTCAAATAAAATTGTGGAATGAGTTTTACTGAACCAACTGTGACCACATTTACAACGGTACCTAAAATATTGATCGTTTGAAATTTCTATCAACAATTACATGTTGGACTTACGTTGCCGAAACATGTTTTTTGAATACTTGAGAATTTTGTCCACTATTCACAATGTCTTGCTTTTCCTCAGTGTTGAAAGTCCAACGATCCGTAATATATTGTCGATATTGACTGTTTAATAAACGATTAAATGTTCCTTGAAAATCCATCATATGAAACGTTTATGTAGTTCACTTTTTGCTATCAAAACAGAGTCAAAATGTTTCTGTTTTCTTGCAAATGGGCAATAGTGATAAGAAGAAAAAAACAAAAGTGAAAAACGCACCACTTATTTTGTTCTGTTCATTACGTAGCTAGCTATTGTGACAGAAGGCGAAACTTTAAAAGTAAAAAAACAACAGCTCCCACTGTTAGAGAAAGAGGAGAAACTTTCTGCTAAAAGTGAAAATGTGTTGTTGAATGAGAAGTCAATGTTGCTCGGAAGAATAAATGAATTTCTACAGTAAAAAGCTTTCAATGCAATTTCTTCAGCATTAAAATGTGAAAAACAATGGAGCTGTTCACATGGGGTGGGTGTGGGTGAAGGCTTGGAGTATATATACTCACCTATCCAGATCCACACCCGCACCCACCCAGGTCGACCAATCTGATAGTAGGATCCGATAGGTTCCGTCTCGTATCCAATCGGCATCCTATCGGATTCCTACAAAATTCGGCCGGATCCTATCGGATTTTCTCGGAAAACCGGTGACGGAAATGTGACGGGAGCCCCTGTATCGGAAATCCTATCGGATCCTACTGTCCACATCCGATCGGACGCTATCGGAACGGAAACCGATCGGAAACCACTTTCGGCAGCCGACATTAACCATAGTAACGCAATCCGATCGGTTCCCACTGTTGATAACATATCAAACACCATATTCAAGACTAGAAAGCATCGCAACACATAATAAATAATACACAAATTCAAAATAACAATACACAATACACAAAACCATTAGAGAGGGTGTGGGTGTGGGTGTGGGTGGGTGTGGAAAGGTGTGGGTGTGAGTGTGGGTTCTTTGAGAGTCAATACTCACTCCGACACCCACACCCCACCCACACCCACATCCACATCCACACCCACACCTACACCCACACCCACACCCACACTCTTAAAACTCTCTGGAAGTAGAAAATTAATTTTCAATTATTCTTCGGTAATTGTTGAATTTTTATTTGTCCTGTAAAATATCTATTATATTCACGGTAGCGGAAGTGACTCTACTATCTTGTCTCGATCAGCTCGCAAACACTGAAATTGATTATTTATTCAAGTTGCACCTAGATCAATTCGTTTATCTCGCTGCATATTCAGTAATTAATTGAATTCGATTATGAACGTGCTAACACTGAACAAAAGAAACGTGTTCTTGAATTGTGCGAACGGGTTCTTTTTTAAACGTTTTGATACGTTTTGAAGATGAACGCTCTTTGATTACATGAACGAAATATTCTTAAACGAGTTACAGCGAGCTTCCAGAAAGAGAGTTCTAATGCGTTTGAAACTCATTCGGTACCAACGCGTTTCTTATCTGTAAATACGCGTATGAACGCGTTTTAACTCTTCAATTTCTTGAAAGAACACGTTCTGGGTCTGTAAACTGCGTTCCAAATTGACAAAAACGCATTGTTACTCGTTTCTGTCTTTGAATATTTTTTCGTGGGTATGCTTTCCATGAACGTAACTTTACAAAGAATAGAAAAGATGCACATGATATTTCTATTGCTACTATTTGAGTTTATTCCAGTACTAATTCAACATTACAAGGGAAATATTGCTTCTATCTATGAGTTCATGTATATCAACTATCTCCTTGCCTTTTTTCTCCTCCTTTATGTACTTGCAAGTGAGAGAAGAGATAAAATAAAAGAAAATAAGGCTAGAGAAAAGGCGAGCAAATAGTCATCGTTTATCATTAAGCGGGTAAAAGGTGAAGCGGTCACTTTATAGCGTGATCCGATCAGTGGCACAGTTATATTCGCTGAATTACACAGCCGCACCTATTTTTTTGTCCATTTCATATACGATTTTGACCGCTTGACCGTCACCATTTTTTTTTGTTTAGCTATTGTCAGCGTCGCTGCTATTCCTGCATTTGAATCGAAATAACTTGTCAGAATATACCTAAACTATGCACAACGTCATTTTTATCAAAATCATTCTCTCGTCAAGTTTCGTCTAGGTATTTTTGTTTAAATAGGACATCTATAGTTCATATAGAAGAATTCATCATTATATTGTCTACTTATTTAGAAAAAGATTCCTATTCTTTTATTTAGATATCTCGACGCCTTCAATGAAGACTATCATCGATGTTGCCGTTTCTCTACTGGTCGTACTTTGTTTCGCTACCATAAAATCCAACAATTCAACAATCTCATGTCTTTCATGCAAGAGTTATCCTTATGACAACATAACCAGCGATCTAGCAGAGCATATGTATGATTGTGAGATGCAAGAGAATGATCAATGTCATGGTGGACTTTCTGTGACCTATACAAACCAAGGGCAAAAATTTCTTCTTACCTTCCTTGCTCGTTTAGCTCGCTCAAGCGATTTAGATGATCTTGATGACTCAGTATTCGAAATGTTATCCATTTCATTTAATAAATTTTATGTAAGCCGCTCAATGAATGTTGATTGCTCGGAATCATCAAATTGTTCACTTCATCACGTGGAAGTCTTCAATGAAAAAAGTAAGTCAAGCTTTCGTTAAACAGATTGCCTGCATTACTGTACAATCGTTTGCATAAAGTATAATTCTTGACTGAAATATCGCACTTACATTGTGCTCAAACTTGTTCAGTATCAAACTATCGATTTTTTTAAATTTTCGAAAATACGATGCTAACTAACAATTATTTTGTTTTCATTTTTATATTTAGTTTCTTCGTTTGTTCCTATGTCACTATGGGAAACATTGTCTGATCTATTATATTCTTCAACATCTGTTGCTGCTGATTTGGTATGTTTAGATTCATCAGATCGGTCGGTTGCTTGTCCCAATGGAGTTTGTCGTACGAGTGTGAACATATATAAATTTAATAATTTGCACAAAATTGATTCCAAGTGTTTTCAAACAAAATCACACCGTAGACCGTATGCTTTAGAATACTCTGAATTGCTACCGTCGTCTATATTCATGAAATTCTCTTGTAATAAACCATTATGCAACTCAAAAGAAACAACACAACGAGTATTCGAAATATTGACAGAAGCCAATATCATCTCAAAATCAGGGATAATTCCAACACTATCGATAAATATAAGCAATGTTGTGAATTAAGAATTATGAAGTATTCGACGAACGAACTCAAGTGAAAATAAAAATTATCTGATTATTTGTTGTTACTGTTGTTTTTCTTATTTATCATGTATATATGAGTAATCAATAAAATAAAATAATTCTCTAAATTCAAAAACAGTTCAACGTTCAAATTCTAATCGGCTTGCACATGTCACAATTGAAGAAAATAATGCAAAGTTTAAAAAATAAAATTGAAATGAAAATAAAAGAATTGCGAAAAAAAATTCTATTTTAAAAATTTATACGAACAAAAACAATATGATTTAATCAAATTTAAATCACAATAAAATCGAACATTATAACGATATTTTTATTTAAAATAAATTTAATTTATCTAATATTAAAAATTTATATTTAAATGAATCTAAACAAATTGAATTAATTAATAATTTATATCAAAGATATATTGAATTAATTCATTTATCATATAGAAATAATATTAAAAAAATTTTGTTTTCAAGTATATTTTTTTAATGAAAAAAAAAAGAAATTCTCTTGTTTCATAGAAAAATGAACGTATTGAATATTTTGAAGATCTTAAATATTTGATTGATGAAAATGCAAATATTGAATTGAATCTTTTCAATGATGAATATATATTAAAAAATTAAATATTATTTTAAATAAAACTGAACAATTAGAAAATGAACAAATTTTACTAAATATAAGAATTCATTTTTTTATATTGACATTGAGTTGAAAAAAAAAAATATTCTTTTTTAACTTAATTTGATTGACAAATTGTTTATGTTTTAAATATAGTTATACAAACAATTTAACAAAGAAATTTTATGATTCAAAATAAAGTTTTTATTCGCCTTTGATTTTTTTTTTCATTTTAAAAAATATATTTTAATTATTTAGTTAAAACGTACAAATGATATGGAAAATCGACAAGATGAATTAGAAAAATTTGCATATGTTTTTAATTATAAAAATCGAGAATTAACAAATGAAATAGCTCCTCGACAACATCAAGTTAAAGCTTTAATTGAACAATATAATTATGTTTATTACATTTAGAAAAATTGTTTTCTTTTTTTTTTTAAATTATTTATTTAGATGGATAATGAATATGATATATTATGTCAAAATAATGAAAAATATTCAATAAAAATAGCTGATTATAAAGTAAGATTAAAAGCGACAGAAAAAGAACTTCAATATGAAAAAATCGCTCTAAATTTTCTTCTTTATTTCAATAAATATTTTGATTATTTTATTTAAAGATTCATAAGTTCTACGAAATAGTTGCAAATATGAAAAAAGATTTAAAATTATGTCGTCATTTAATTGATAAATCAAAACAATTAATCAAAATTATTTGAAATATTTATGGAAAATATATTCTTCAAGTTCATGTTAGCTACATATTTAAAATCTTTTTCTTTATTTGAATCAATTCTATTTCGTGAAAATCATATTCAAGCGAATAAATTTCTATCGAAAAATCTATTTAAATAGTTAATGTCATCGAAATAGTCTTGTTTTTTTTTAAAATTTTTCATTTTCTCCGTTATATAAATCATATTTTTAGTATGAGACAAAAAAATGATTCTTTTTCAACTGAACAAGAGTGTGGGTGTGGGTGTGGGTGGGTGGGGCGTGGGTGTGGGTGGGTGTGGGTGTGATGTTGATGTGAATATAAACAAAGATGGCAGTCCCACACCCACACCCACACCCAACCCACACACACTCACACCCACACCCACCCACACCCATCATTTGACATGGCTTTGTTTCACTAAAAAGCATTATTGTTTCTCATCAATATCTGAAAATAAAAGACGAATAAAAAGTGAATTTCTCATTTTCTCAATCGAAATTTGATTAATCAGTGATAAATTCAGTGACCAAACATTTAATTCTCAATGAAGATTTATAGTCTGTTGATTTTTACTTTTGTTATTGAAAAATGTGCATTTTTCTTGTTTGAACAAATATGAAAGAATGAATTTAACTTGAGTTTCGTTTCTAGTAGAACATAAAATAATTTTAAAAATTGTTGATATCTTTTTTTTTTTTATATTTGTCTTAGAGAACGAAATATTGAAATTATTTACCTTTATAAAATGGACAATTATTGTCGCAAATGTAAAGAAGAACATCGAATTTGCACTTTTGATCGTCAAACACTAATTACATATCCTGTTCTTTGGAACATCAATGACAAAAATATTCCGATTTGCTATTGTAGTCATGTTGTAGAAGATCATTTCGATTATGGTAAGTACATTGTTTATATTTAAAATTTAAAAAGTTGAATTTTGTTTAACATTTTCAATATGTGAAAAAGATCATGAGGATGATCTGGTACATGTGTCTTATAAGGATAATTTTAAAACAAAGAAAACATATATTTTTAACTTCGCTTATAGACTGACATTTCTAATCTTTCGTTGAAAAAAGAATTGTTTTTTTTTTCAATGAAGTTCTAAGGGTTTCCTTCATGATATATCATAAATAATTCATAAATTTTTTGGTTATGAAACAAAAAATTAATATATCGAACAACATCGTTAATGCGTTGATTTCAGTCACTATTAAAATGCAAATAGCTTTTTTGTTTTACTAGACTTCATTTCGTATACTATTCAAATTTTGAATTAGAAGAAGAAGAACAAACGTTGCGGAACAGTTTTTCAAGGTCTTATTTTCTGAAGTTTCTAACAAACATTTTAATCAAAAAGTTCCCTTTTAATGAAATTATTTTTCATTAAAAAATCTCATTTTGCAGAAACTTATTGGGACAGAAAAATTCATAGAGAAGACCAACAATAATTAACTAATTGTGTAGAAAATTTATAAATAGAAGATCATGCCTGATTTTAACTTCAGATATAATTGTTATTATACTAAGAAAATAGTCTTAATATGAATTGATTTTCAAATCTTTTATTTGCTGAACAAATTCAAATATTTATAAGATTTTCTTTTTCTTTTTAAGATATATGGACTGTTATATGTGAAAAATTGACAAAAGCAACAGAATGGCTCATGAAACAACATACGGACTAATTTATTTCTTATTCTTTTTTTTTTAATCATTTGATGATAAACTTGATCATGTCGAACAAATGTTTTGTTATATTAATAGAGAGAAAATTATGCCTGTTAAAACATATGCTCTTATTATATACAGGTCATAACATCATTTTTGATTGTTATTGTCTTAAGGATGTGGGTGTCTAACTGGGTATTGATATTTGGATGTGTGGCTTGTTCTCACTTAGAATCTACCAATATCCATACTCACACTCACACTCCATCCCTAAATCTGATACTAGTCGATAGATCTCATCGAGCTCTATCTGGCACAGCTGTTCTTTTCGGTGACACAAGTCTTGGGACGATTATGAGGTTGAAATACTGATTTTTTAAAAATATAATCAATGTTTTAAAACTAATTTTTCGAACCTTTCAATCGGTTGACACGATGGAAACTTTTTGAAAAGTATGCATTCCATAGCATATTCAATGCTCTATCAGGCATAACTGATGTCTTTGTTGGCACAAATCTGTTTGCGAATATTTTCTCAAAAAAACTCAAATAGGCTGCTAAGCTTACTTGCATCGAGATCGAACTGAAACTTCTTTTTTCTTCAATTTATGTTATGATGTCTCGTTCGCATACAAATAGGATCCAAGAAAGATAAATTTTTGAGGACTTTAATATTTTTCAAGCTTCAACATAATTACAACGAAAATAAGACGCAATTGTCTTTGCACAAATATGAAACAGGTGTAAGTACAGTTGATGAGAAATAATGAATCATATAGATAAGTAAACAATCAATCGATAATTTTCTTTAGAAGAACATTGACGGACTTTCATGAAGTTCTCGTAGCGATAAATTCTACAATAGTTACTTTCCATTTTATATTAGGCTGTGACTAGCTGACGAAGGAAACTACGAGTTGTTCCAGTTATAACGATCCATAGAAACTTCAGCTCTCTGTGAAATAGAAACATCATTCAGTTTTGAGTCTCAAAATGGATTTTTTCGAAAAGTTGATGAATTGACATAGTCGATATTCGTGCTTTGCACCTCATCTCGGATTCTCGACTTTGAGATGCCATCTAGTTCTGTTAATATTGCGTAATTCGATAATGTTATATTCAATTGTTGTATAAATCAACAGGTGTTTTTTTCTTTTCAACTTGATCATTGATAAATGTTTTGTTGTTTCATACTCATAAAGTATTCATACAAAAAGAAATGTCTTTTACAATAAAACAGTTGAAGAAAGAATTCAATTAGAAAATAGTTTTTTATATTTGAATGAAATTTCATTATGTACTATTATTACGTTCATTAAGACATAGGAAGACATATAAATACAATTAATTTCATAAGATAAATTATTGTGTATTGTTAATCGCTTTTCAATAAGAACAACTAAATCAATAACGTTGAGTGAAATCAGTTGAGAAAATATTTAAAAAGAATTATAATATCAAGAATACTGATTTATGAAGTATTGTATAAAGTCATTTCAAGAGTTCTGTTTCACCACTATTAGATTTTATGATTTACTATCATCTGAATTAGGGTACGTCGGTCTCGTTGTGACCTAATATAACCATATTTTAAAGTAGAATATACATGAAATAATTATCCCTAAGACATATTGTTATGCGAAGTTTCATATCAAAATTCCAAAGATAACTTTTGCTGCTATTCTTAAGCAGTACAACTACAATGAATGAAAACAAAATTGTGAAAGTTTTATATCTACATTTCAATATGCTTCATTTATTGTGCTGTTGGGAAACTTATAAGAAACTGCTTCTTTATAAATTTCTTCTTTCTTTCAAAATAAAAGAAAAATTCAATATCCAAAAAACGTATCATCATATGATCTCTCAAACATAGATAAAACTTATTGAATTTCTTGAAATTCTTTCGAGAATTTGAAAATGGACAACAGAAAATAGCGCAAATCAAGAAGCAGTAGAAAAATAACTGTCTGCTTAAGATCTTATTTCTGAAATAGAAAACAGTGATACTATTTTGGAAAAGAAATGAATTAACAAATACAAAGTCAAATATCGAACTATCATATCACCTATTCATCTCAATCATAGAAAAGTTCACATAAAACAGGTTTTATCTTAATCAAGACATCTTCGAAAGTACTTTCATGAATTAGCCCTTTCATAATCACTCAGAAATACTAAGAATTCAATTGAAGATAATTTTTCTTTTATCCTACTCTAATAAATAAAAGATATCTCAAATTTCAGAAGACAACAATTTCTACCATATTCACTAATGTACACTAAGAAATCTTCTTTGTGATGAATTTCATTTTTTCAAAAGAAAATATTTGACAGTTATTACGTGCCATTGAACATTTCTCATTTTTTTGAAAATATTTTAAAACATCGATCAATTGTCTTGTATTTCTATTCAATAACATCAACTATTCATGAACATCATACTTGATTTATTAACAAGAACAAAAACAAAATTACAATATATACAATTATCACTAATAAAAAATATTAGATCACAATGGCAACGAAGTTAATCCTTGTCTCATATACAATACAACAAGTGTAATAATACGTAAAGTAAAAAGAATATATATATATATATATTGTTAAAGATACAAAAAACACTTTTAAATCAAATTACCTATTGTTCCAAAAATACTGACATATTGACTAGTATAATTTCGTTGTTCTGGAGTTTTATGAATAATTTTCAAAAACTCATTCTTTGAAACAAAAGAAGAAGATAAATATTTATTTTTCATTAGATAAACTTACCAAATAGTTTTGACTTTCAAGCCATGTATGAAGATTTGTTACAATAAAATCTATTGTCCACTCAACAACAGCTGAAATAATTAAATCGATATTTTCTTGTTTTCGTTGTTTAATAATATGTTCACCTATTACTGCTAAGAATGAAATAAATGTGATTATTTTAGACCATGTTATTTATCAATTATCAACTAATTTATTGGCGATCATGTAATGCATGTTTTTGAATTCATTTAATGAAAATGATGAAATACAACGAAAATCAACTATGAACTGTTGAGAAAACATTTGTTCACTTTCATAAACAATTCAACGAATAAGAATAAATAATTGATTAGTTGTTGATGATTTATTTTTTAATCGTCAAGTAAAATAATCATTGACAATCGATTGGGTCATTGTTGCATATTTATAGAAAGACATATTGTACATTTGTGTTTTTCGATTTGAAATGAATGAAAGTGATCCAAATCAATGATTTTTTTGGCTTCGATGATAATAGCAATTTATTAATGAAGAAAGCGGACATTCACTATTCAAAAGAGAGAGAAAAAA